GGCCTCTGGCCTCCTGCAACAGTAGCCACTGAGAGTAGGGCAGGCCAGCACCCAGGAGACTCGCCTGCATGCACACACACACCACCAGGTTCTGGAAAATGGAGCCTTTTTAATTTTCTGCTCGTTTATAAAACAGGGGGTACAAAAGGACGGGCTAATGAGGGCAGAGAGGCCCCGGGGCCGTACAGCCAGCCTCGGCCTGCCCAGGACACCAAGTGGAACGGGCGTCGGAGCTGCTGCCAGCAGGCGCCCGGAGCTGAAGGGCGAGTGACAGGTAGGGGGATGAGAAAGGGCAGCTGCGGTGCCAGCAGGGCACAGCCACACACGTCTGGCCCTTGGCATCAGTGCATGAGGAGGCAGCAGCTAGGGCCAGAGCAGGGCTGGGAGTGGTCCACACTCTGCGGGGGGAGAAGGAGCGGAGGGGTGTGAGTGAGGGGCAGATGCAGCATTGAGGTGCCGGCCTCGAGGGTGACTGTCCGCCTCTCTTGGAGGGTGCTGAGCGGCGAGGTACAGAACTAGTGAGCAGACCATCCCCAAGTCCGGTGCCTGGGAGGATCATCAGGTGCGGATCTGAGCAAACTCTTTGCGCAGCCACATGGAGTCCTGGTAGAAGCGGGGGTCACCCAGGTGCACGGCAGTCCTCTTGTAGAAGTAGTAATACAGCACAGCCGCTGGTGGGAGCGAGAGTGGGTGAGAGCAAGCCCAGCAGGCCAGAGCTACCCCACCCCCACTGCCTAAAGGGGCACACCAGTGTGCTGGGAGGCCTCATGCCCCCAGACAGAACTGGGAGCCTGGCCAAACACTGTGTCTTAACCCCCAATCCCAGGCTGGGGGCACCATAGCCCACCCCACTGACAGCACAGTAGCTGTGCTGTGTGTGCAGGGAGGGCTGTCAATGGCTCCCTGCATGTCTGTCCATCCCTCTGCCCTGCATCAGTCTGCCTCCACCCCTTACCCAGCCTCTGGAACACGAAGAGTGCCTGCAGCCCATCTGTCCACACGAAGCCATTGGAGTCCTTCCAGCGCAGGTTCTGAAAGAGACACACATACACCAGGAGCAGAGGCCTTGGGTGGGGGGGATGTAAGCCCAGTGCCAGACCACAGCACTGCCCACTGGGTCTCTTCTAAGGGCCCCAGCTCCCCCTCCAGGCTTTTTTCAGCCTTCAACTCATGTCACACTAACTGCAGCTCCTCAGTGAGAGGCCGCTGTGTCAGCTTCCCAGAGCCAGTTGGTGCCCCCTAGTGGGCAAGCAGGGTGCAAAATCCCTCCACTGCCCTGATCCCTTTCCCTGCAAGAATAACAGTCTGTCTCTAAGCCCATTCTGATTGTAGACACAGAGCAGAACAGCCAGGGAGCAGCTCTCGAAGCATGCAGAGGTTAATCAGAGATCAGCCTGGAAGCATCTCTCTGGGAATCCTCTTAAATCACCCTGTCCAGGCAGAGCCACAGGCAGCACCCACAATGCAGAAGCCCTCTCCTGATCTAGGCAAAAGGCACCTCAGAGCAGTGGGGCTATGGTCTAGGAACAGGGATGCGGGTGGAGGGAAGGGATGAAACAGGATACCTGGGTTCTACCCTCAGTTCTTCTGTTTGCTTACTCTGTGGTTTTGGGTGCATCACACACTCCCCCTGCTGTGCCTTGGGATAGCTTTCCAGCACCTCTTGCCAGGGCAGTAATCCCATGCAACACATCACACCTGCCATCAAGCCACTCTGACAGTGGATTAGCTTTACTTGGAGAATTGGTTACTACAGGGAACCAGAGCCAGCAGCAGCCCAGCATCCAGGGCAGGCTACTCCCTTCTAGTCTGAGGACTCCCAGCCACAACCGTTTCACAACTCTTGTCTCTTTAAACATGACTCCCTCACCGTACCCCACTTAGAAAGCACCCACAAGTGATCACTGAAATCAGCAGCTTGGCCCCTGTCAGGAGGGTGCTCTCTAGCACTGGCTTTGGTTCTCCATGGAGCAAGATCATCATGAGCAGAAGGTCATGGAGTAGCAATAGTCCCAGCTGTCAGGTTTGCATGACCTGATGCCAAGCTGTCAGCCAGGTCTATAACCCCCCAGGCAGGAGGGAAACCCTCTGTTTCTCCACTGGGAGAGCTGCTTCCCTGACAGCCTTGCTCTGGCACCAATGCCTGTGCTTGCTCTGGCACCGATGCCTTTGCTTGCTCTGGCACTGGCCTCCAAGTGCTGCTGGGAGGAGGTGGGCTAATCCTCACATTTTGAACCAACAAACCCTCTCAGCTCTGTACAATGCCTGAACTGTTGAGAGACTGCCCCCAGCCCCAGCCTCCTTTCTCACTGAGACACCAAGAAAGGCCTGGACTTAGACAGCAAAGCCTGCCTGCAGTCACAGCACAGGACCCAGCCTGGGAAGCACCCCCAGCAATCAGTTTGCAGTCCCAGCCAGGATCATGCCCTCCAAAGCAGTAGCTGGCCAGACATTCAGTAATGGAGGAATGTCCCACCCTGAACCTGGCAGACAGTATGAGTTTCTGCTTGGTCCTGCATTCAGCCTCCTGGGATGTGGCAACGCAATGCTGGGAGTAGAGAAGCAAACTTAGCCCCATCCAAGAAACATTCTGTGCACCTAAGGAGAGCAAGATCCTCCCTGTCACAAGGGAGACAGAGTGGAGCTCCCCCCAACCCTGCTGCTGCCCCCTGGGAGGACAGGAGGGAAAGGGACTTGCACTCCCTTCCCTAATGCTCCAGAGCTCCTCCCTTGTTTGGAGCAAGGTGTGACAAACATGTTCAGGGAGGTCCTGGGGGCACAGGGGCTCTGATACTGCGTGGCTACATGCAAGTTAATTCTTTTCGTAGCCCCACTGTGTCTCCAGGTGAGTCGGGGACATGGGGTCCTTCCAAGGTGCAAGAGTCCTGACCTCTGAGACTGAAAGGGCAGGGTAGGATCCAAGCACAGCTTCAGCCTGGCAAGACTTCACAGGAGAGGTTCTCTCTAGTGGGTGGCCAAAACGGGCTGGGTACACCACAGGGAGATCCTGGGGCCTGCGTCTGAAACTGTAGATATCGGCCACTGTCAGAGGGGGCTACCAGAGGAGGCAGATTCATCCCGCAGGGTGTCAGGTACTGCTGGATGAGCTCAACTGCTCTGGAGGAGGATGAAGTCCCTGACTAGACAGATCAGGGATTCTTATGCCCCTTGGCGAGACGCCCTGATCCCAGAAGCTGGCACGGTCCTGCCCTACCATGACCCAGATGTGGAAGGAGATGCTCAGAGCCAGGTACACTGCCGACAGGATGATGGTCCCTTTGAACTTGTGGAACAGCAGGTTGACCAGGCCGGCCTGGAAGACGAAAGTGTTGAAGAACATGAGGAAGATGATGATGACGTTGAAGAGGACGGTGATATCCTGGATGCTGTGGGGGGAGAGAGAGGGCAATGAACTCCCAGGCACCTGTGGGGACCCTGCCATCCCCGGTTGCCGGCACTCACATGAAGAGCACGAGCTGGATGACTGGCGCGGTGCGCAGCAGCTCCGAGAAGGAGTTGACGAAGAGATCGTAGAAGAGCAGCAGGAACTGCAGGGAGAGCACCATGCTGTAGCTGCTGGTTTGCAGCATCATCTTTCCCCGCGGGCCGTGTTCTCAGCGGCTGCATCCCGAGCTGCGGAGCCACCTCATTCCCGGGGCCCGGGGCCTCCTGCGCCGCCTCGCCCTACGGACGCGCCCCGGAGCCTGGGGGGTGGAAGGGGGAGATGCGGGTGTTATTCCTGGCAATGCCTGGGCCGGGGGGAGGAGGGGGACCCTTGCCTACCCCGTGCCCGTGCCCGGGACACTGTCTCCGCACAGGCACCCCCTCCCAACGGGCCCTCACTCGCCTGGCACCGCCATCTTGCATCCCCATGGCGACCGCGCCGCCATCCCGGGAGGCAGGCGGAGGGACCGGAAGTATCCCGTTGCCACTCTGCGGGCACTTCCGGGGAGTGAGACGTGGCGCTCTCGCCTCTCTATGGTGGTGGAGGACCGGAGCATGGCCCCAGCTTGAGGCACAGGCTGCTGTGATGCCCCCGGGGCAGGTCCTGGCCCCCGACTGTGGGGTCCCCGTGGTCCGGGCTTTTGATGGGCTAAAGGGACAGCGTTTGCTTGCGCGGCAGGCTCAAGCAGGGACCAGCCTGCCTTGAGTCAGGGGGTGGCGGCAGCCGGCTGCACGTGGTGCATCTGGGAGGGGGTGGACACGAGTCATGCAGGGAGCAGAAAGCAGAGCAGCAGACCAGGCGAAGGGAAGGGTGCAGAGTAATGAGGGCCCCCTTCCGGTTCTAGCTGGGATCTGGAGGACTTGGATCATAGAGAGGGCGGGCAGGTGGGCGGGAGCGGCTCTGAGCCAGGTGCAGAAGTGCGGCGCGAAGACTCCATGTCCCGTGGTGCCTCCGGGCGCGAGGCGGAAGCGGTTGGGGGGTGGGGCCGCGGCTGCGAAGAGAAGCTGCCCCGATGAGCCGGGACAGCTCCGCGGAGGGGTCCGCGGCCTCCTGGAACTACAGCCCCCGGCGTGCCCCGCGCTGGAACCGGAAGCGAGGTGCGCCCTAGGGAGTGGGGGCTGGGAGGGGTCAGTGCAGGGTCAGGGAGAAAATGGGAGCCCTGGGGACGGAGTGGGAGGCTGATCGCCAGGGGTCGGGGTAGATTGGGGAGGTCAGTTGCAGGTTAGGAGGTCAAATGTAATTTAGGAAGGGTTGCAGGAGGTCAAGGGTTGGGGGACAGTGGGGTGCAGGCTGCTGTGGGGCCATAGGTGACGGTGACCCCCGTGTCTGGGCAGGCGGGGCCGTCGCTCCTCTGAGGAGCCTGACTCTGATATTATTTCTGTCCCCTTGCACACCCACACACTCCTCATCCCGTGGTGCTGGTGTCTCCTGGGGGCTGCATTACCCACCCCTGCACTCTTGCTATTTTCCACTTGTGCCTCGTGATTCCTCTCGTTCCGTCTGAAGGCCTGGGCCGCGGGGGCTGCGAAGCAGTGCCAGCTCCTCACCTCTCAGCTGGGCTCCGAATGTACCTCCGGGTTTTGGGGCCAAGCTTGAGGATGTGACCCAAGGGCTTCCTTGAGAGTGCAGGGAGCAGAAGGCAACCAGGATGAGCCCCTTGTGCACTGCTGAATCCTGTCATTTCTCAGGGCTGGGCTCAAGCGTTTGGTGCCTGCAATACGGAAGCGGTGAAGACAGATGCCGCCAGGGTTTTTTTGTCTTCTAGCAGATCCTTCCGGCTTCCTGGGAACACCTTGGCCTGCAGCCCTTTGGCTGAAAGTTCCAGTTCAAGGTCATGTTCCGGCCCCCCCCCACCAGACGGATTAGCGAAATGAGCTGGGAGCCAGGAGTCTGGGATGTTCTTTCCAACTGCTGCTGGGCTGGTACAGCACCTCTCGTCCCCCTGGCACAAAGCATTTCATGTCTCCCAGCCCTCCTCGTGTGGGAGGCAAAAGTCACTACCCCTGTATTATTGTTTCAAAAGCAAGGCTGAACATGTATAAGTGTCTTGCTAAAGGATATAGAGTGACTGAGTGGTACAGCCTTCTGCCCACGTTGAGTATTACAGGGATCCGGCAGCCCGTGGTGCCAGCTAACCCCTGCCTGAGGGCAGTTGCTCTCTTATTAGATCACTTAGCAGCCTCCTCTGCCCCCTCCACATCAATTTTTAGTTCAGCAAAGGACACAGAGGTCTGGGGTTAGGAAACAAAGCCCTTATCCATAACATAGACTTATATAGCATTAGTTCCCAAAAGCTTCCCAGAATTCAGGGTCACCTGGAGCTTGGCACTGTACACACACAGTGGCTCTTCACCCTCCTAACATGTTGCTTGGACATGAAATGTGTCCAGGATCACTCTTTCAACCTTTGCCAATCCAGCACTAGGAGTCCTTTGGCTGTGTGTCCTGGGCAAACACAGCTGTGTTTACACCTGATAGTAGGTGTGACTTAGCCTCCCAATACCTGCAAACCCTCAGAGGTGGCAGGGGAGGAGGAGAAATAACCCTTTTGGGGCTTCACATACTAACCCCCTGGTTCATTTTGCTGCTGTCCCTTCCCAGGGAGCAGTGGGAGGACACAGCTTTCTCTGCTACTAAACTTGCCTCCCGCCTCCTCCCCTCCCCGCCTAGCAGCGCCCTTCCCCTCCTCATGTGGCATGGTGTATTTTTGGTGGAGGATGTAAAACTAAGCAAATGAGGGACATTTCTAGAGCCTCTGCTGGCTGCAGTGGTTAAACAACTCTGCGACCCTGTGTGGAGTGTGTGGCTCTGATACAGACCTTGCCTCGCTTCTGACGGTATGTGGGCTGCATAAGGCCAAGACTGGGTGGATGGGCTGTTCTCAGAATTTATTATACTCCAGACAAGGGAACCTAGGTAAAATGTAGCAGGCTGTGATCCCCAGGATGCCATGCTGGGTGATGTAACGGTTCTTCCCGGCCTTACCCTGTCTAAAATTTCCAAGAGAGGAATGGGGAACCCAGAATTGGAAAGGATGGGAGAGCACTGTCAGAGTTATGGAGGGGCTCTGATGATGGGAATAGCAAGGGTGGGATTGGACAGGGTGGAGGGGCATTGCCTGAACAGGGAGGTTGCCAGAAGTAGGGCTCCCCCATCCCTTATATTACCCCCTCTGGAGCAAGTGCTCCATTGCTGGTCTTGGGAGTCTTCACGGTCCTCCTCTGCAGCGTGTCTGGAAAGAAGAAGTGAGGAGGGCCTCATGACTGTTACAGGAAGCCTTGGTTGCAGGTGCAGCACACACTCTCCCTCTCCCCACTGGGTGCTGCTTAGGGCATCCTGACTACTAGGCTGCAGCAGTCTCTGCATCTCTGAGAGGCCCAGGGTGGGAACTGAACTGTTTCTCTTTGGGCTGGATTTGGTTCTGCCTCTGTTGAATTTGCCCGTTTCTGCTACATCTCAGCTGTGTCCCTGCTGTGTCCCTGCTCAGTGTGCCAGGCCCATGGTGGGGGAAGCTTGATTCTGTGTGATAGCAGTGGTGGGGTGGGCACGCAGAAGTAAATGTTTCTGCTGCTGTGTCCTCCTTGGGCTACCCTGGGCCAGGATTGACTGGGACCCCTGTCCTCTCCCTGAGAGCACTGTAGAGGCAGTGTTGGTGTTGGCAGAGACACATCGCTCCCGTCTCTCCCTGAGGAGCAAGGGGCAGGCTCCTCCTGGTAAGCGGGGGTTCCTGCTGCCCTCAGACTTCCCCACTGCCCTCTACTAGGAGCCTGCAGGAGGTGCCTCCCTCACCTCTTACTTTGTCTACCTCTCATCGGGGCTTCACACTGCAAGCAACTAATCATCTCCCTCCCTCGGCACTGTGTGGCAAAGGGGCAGTTCTGGGTGGTTACAGGACAGCCTCTGCTCTCTCTCACCACCCCTGCTCCCTGGCTGCCTTCAGCCCAGCAGGTTGGCTTGGAGGCTGTGCCTCCATGTGGTTCTTTTGTCATCAGGGTGGCACTGGGCAGCTGGCAGAGCTGGATGAAGGCTGGCTGGGCAGATGAGGGGTTGCAGAGCCCAACGGGGTGACAGGTAGGGGAAAGGGGGTGAGGGGCTGTGCAGTGACTCTATCCTTGTTATGTTGCTTCCTCAGGTGTGGTCTCTTTCAGTGGCACGATGCCCACTTTGAGGTTCCTGCCTTTCTCAATCCTGCTGGGTGTTGTGGGGATCCTCTGCGTGGGGCTCACAGGCTTCTGGTGCTACCACTGGCGTGGGGGCTTTGGCTGGGATGGCACTGCCAGGATGTTTAACTGGCACCCAGTCTTCATGGTGACGGGCATGGTGGTGCTGTACGGTGCAGGTACGTGGGAGCCCTCCCCCCTCAGCCATGGGACTATTCCTTTGCCGGGGGGGTGATGAACCTCCCTGTCTCTCCCCTTTCCCCTCAGCGGCGCTGGTGTACCGCCTGCCTCTCTCCAGGAGGGGCTCCAAGCTGCCCTGGAAGCTGCTTCATGCAGCCCTGGCCCTGGTAGCCTTCCTCCTGGCCGTGTTGGGGCTCGTTGCTGTCTTCAGCTACCACAAAACCCGGACCATTGCCAACATGTACTCGCTGCACAGCTGGGTGGGGCTGACAGCTGTTGTGCTCTTCTCTTGCCAGGTAGGTGCTACCACCTGTGAATGCCCTTTCCCCACGCATCCTCCTCCTCAGCTGCCCCTAGCTCCGCCACTGGCTGCCTTGGCCTTGGTCTAGTCCAGCTGGTACACTGAATCCTCATCCCTTTTCCCTCTCTTCTAGTGGCTTATGGGGTTCTCCACCTTCCTGCTACCCTGGGCTCCAACCTGGCTGAGGGGCCTTTACAAGCCCATTCATGTCTTCTTTGGGTGCGCCATCTTCATGCTGGCCATAGCAGCCTCCATTTCTGGCATCAATGAGAAGCTGTTCTTTAGCCTGTGAGTGCCAAAAGGGGTTGGGACTAGGAATGGGGAGCAAGGTGGTGGGCTTCTGTTTGGGCTTCCTTCTCTCACCTGTGGGCTGGGATGGGGAGTTGGGACCCACCTGGGGTGAGTGGTATGTCAGCGCCAGGAGGCCTGCTCACTAGGCAGACTTAATCCAGAACAGACAGAGAAGGGGAGGCTGAAGGTGGGTCCCAGGTGCAGTGGCTATAACCAAGGGGCTGGAGAGATGCTGGTCTGGGCAGGAGTGGCTGGTACAAACAGGCTTCAGATGCAGAAGGGGAAGAGGTCCAGAAGGGGTAGGGGCCTCCCTCCCTTTGGGTGGAGGCCTGGCCTTTGCCCAAGCCAACGGGATTGTTGTTGCACCATGTTGCATGATCCAAGTGATTTGGGGTGGGGGGAGTTCTCTCTGCTCCCCACTGTGTGGGGCCACCCTGAGAGTTTCTTCACTCCATGAGCTACACAGGCAGGCAGGATTTGTAAGGGAGAGTGGTGGCTTGTGGTGGTGCTGGCTCTGAAAGAAGGCCATCGCTCCACCTCTTTCTTTTCAGGAACAATGCAACAGTTCTCTATTCCAGCCTGCCTCCTGAGGCCTGGTTTGCTAACACCTTGGGGCTGCTGATTGTGGTCTTAGGGTGGATGGTGCTGTGGGCTCTTTCCAAGCCAGCCTGGAAGCGCCCAGAGTTGGATTCACCAGAGGCCCAGCAGGTACAGAGACTGTATAGAGGGAAAATAGCTACTGCTGTGGGGTGAAGCGAGGCTGAGATGAGAAGCTGACCCTGGGGAAGTCTCCTGAGGGCAGAGGTGGGTTGGCTGGCCATGAGCTCTGAAAGAACTTGAGTGACAGACCTCTAGGACTGAACAGTAGAGCTGTACTGCACTGGGCATGGGCCAGGAGCTGGGCAGCACCAGCATCTTTCTCCTACACGAGATCTTGAGATCCACTGGGAGGCAACGGGCTACCACTTGCTATCTTTCCCTGTGGGAGTCTTCAGGAGCCGCAACAGCTCAATCCACTGCCAGGGCAACAGGACACTGGATGCTGTTCCCGGAAACTCATGGGGAGGTGGCACTTCCAGCTTCATGGCAGTAGGACAGCGAGTCCCAGTTGATAAATAGGATTGCACCTGGCCAGAGAGAAGCCATGGGGGTCCTGTGTAGTGAGGACTGAGGGGCAGGGCCAATGGGTCACGGGCCTGGGCTCAAAGGAGGAACCTGTCAGAGAGGCTGTTGCCACTGGAGGTTCAGTCATAGTGGTGAGGGCAGGGAAGTGGGCTGTGGTGCTGAGTGGGAGCTGCAGAAGAGGGTGGGGTGTGCCTTATTTATGGTCTGTCTCTCCACAGCCTCTGCTAGAGGAAGATAAATGAAGCAGCCATTTGAAGGAGGAGGGGCTGCTACTGTTGCGTCAACCCAGGGCAACTAACTCATCACTTCAGTGGCAGCTCTGTGCCTCACTTGCTGCTGTTGGCACTGACTTGTCTGGAGCCACAGGAAAAAGGCCTGCTCTGTCCCAAATGCCCCTGCTCTTGCTCTGCTTTGGGCTCCCACCTCTCAGCCTCCTTTGGGGTCTGGCAAGTATGCTTGAGCTAGTCAGCCCCTCCTACCGTTGCCTCCGGTGACAAAGGGGTCTTGGCAGACTCTGGGCACTAGATCTTCTGGAAGGAGAGTGTTGAGTCTGCCATGTTTTTTCCCTGAGGTGGTTGGATGGATAGCAAGCCAGTGCTGGGTTCTTGGCTGCCACAGCCTGGGTGACCCTGCAGCAGCAACAGTCTGCTCTCAACTGACCAGCTTCCCTTACATGCTGCTACCCATGTCCCCAGCTCCCTCGCCTGGGCTTCTCCCTGTGAAATTCTGGGAGAGTCGCTTCTGTGATTGAAGGAAACTCTGTCTTGATCACTCCTCACCCCACCTCCAGCCGGACAGTGCTACAGGGCAAACCTCTGGGGCACTGGCAGAGCATCCTGGACATTGGCCAAGAATCCTGGCCTCTGCTTTCCAAGCTGAGTTGCTTCCGATCCCTGGAGCACCATGCTCCTACATCCTTGTTATCAGTCTCTGTCCTCTGGGTTGGATATAACATATGTGGAAGTGAAGGCTTCTTGAACCACAGACCTGGAATGAGTTGGATGGGGGGCAATGACTGACATTCTTCCCTTCTCCCCGCAGCTGCTACCACTTCCCTCCCAGGCCTCACTCCACAAGGTCAGCCTCTGAGCTCTGTCCTAGCTTGCAGCGGGGGAGGCACCTTTGTGGCAGGAAGGGGCTGCTGAGCCACCTCAGAAAAGGAAACCGAGGGTCTGTATACATAGCTGGCTGCAATGGGCAGGCAGCCTGATGGCAGTCACCCTGAAGTCTGTGCTGCACAGCTGGGGGCACTGGAGAGTCTGGCTGGGGCTAGATCACAGTTCCTGTAACCCCCATGTCCTGTTCCCCAGCTTTCAGCCCTCTTGTGCCAAGCACTTTCCCTCTGCCTTCCCCTCCCACCCTGGCCCTACTGCTGTCACACCAGCAATCTCTGAGCTCTCAGCCCTGTGAGGATGAATAGAGGTGCTTTCCTGCTGGACTTGTTCCACACCGGCTGTTCATGCTCCCCTCCTCCCACCTCAGTTCCCTCACCAAAGTGCTGCTGTCATCGTGAAATCCTGCGTGGGGACAAACCAGGCCTTGTGGCTCTGAGCTCATGACTTAGGCTGCATCACACTTTGGCCCAGCCCTTCCTCTTTGCCATGCCTACTCTTTCTCAGATCCCTACTTTAGCTGGCCTCTGTCCAGCTGTTGAGGCAGTGGGGAAGAAAGCCAAGACTTCCCTGTCACTGCCCAGGCCTGCTTCCCAGGCTTGCGGGCTGGAGGATGGTTCTCTCCCCAGTCAGCGCCAGTTCTGCCTGAGGATTATAAGTAAATGTGATACTTTATCCAGTCACTCCAGCTTTTGGGGGCTTCTGGTGTCTTGCAGGCATTGGCCATGGGTATTAGGAAAGAGTTAGAGTAGACTGGAAATCAGCTGAACAGCAATAGGGTAGTGAAATTGGACTCATAGTTTCCATGTGTTTGGTGGTGGCACCTGTCGCAAGCTCTTAAGAAAGTCCAGCAGTGTGGGAGCTGACAGCCAGACTGTTTCAGGCACTGGACAGATTGGGGCTTATCATGCAGGGAGTCTGTAGTAGATCAGGTGAATGTATTATTGTTCATCTAACTGAGGCTCAGGTAGCAGTTCCCTCTTCCCTACCCCCCCAGTGGCAGGGAGGGGTCTGTCCCTTCTCTGGTGTGCTGGATGAGGAGCATGGTGGGCTCCGATGTGTGTGTGCATTTCCCTGTAATTCATTGTTCTGGAATGGGATATGGGTTGGCAGCTCCTTGGCCTTTCCAGCCCTCTGCAGCTGTGGCTGAAGGTTCCCCTTCTTGGAAAGCTTGCTCCTGCCCCTGCAGAGGGTGGGAGGTGCCTGGGGAGAATCTGCAGGGAGAGGAGTGAAATGCCAAGCCAAGAGCAAATATGGCTTAAGCTAACAGCAAAGGGAGGAACCTGGGACTTAGCTAGAGGTGGGAGCACTAAATGATATGCATTCATCAAACAGGAGCAGCTTGATCCTGATGCCAGGGGGTATGCCAGTAGCTGGAGGCTTAAGCAATATTTGCAGAGGTGCAATTAGCCTCTGAGCCATAGCTGGTGGAAATGCCAAGTTTGTTTCCCAGGGAAAATCCCAAGATTTCAGCATTTTTGTCCCAAATTGGGACAAAAATGTGACCTCAGAATTATTTTTTCATCCACTGAAATGTTGGGGACACATCTTCTTTTGACCTTGCTGCACTGTTCTGTTTCAACTCTTGGGCAATATTAAATAATAAATGTAAATTTAGTAAATTCCTGCAAAAACTCTGGTCATGAATACACTCCCCTTTTGCCAACTCAGCGCTTCCTGACAAAGGTATAAATTGGACTTCTGACCAGGCAGTTGCCTTGGGCTGCAGAAATCAAGTGTAGACAAGACAGAAGTTGAATCTGTTCAGTCCCTGACTGCTTTTGCAGGCAGAGAAACTAAGTGCAAACTGGTATTGCTGGGTTTGAGCACTAAGGCTGATGGGAACTAGAGAAAGTCTAGAGGGCTGTTACAGTATCAGCTGAGCACTTACCCAGCCTGCAGGGAGAGGACTGGCTGACAGGCACAAGGAGATAAAATTCCATCTCCATTCACTCCCTTGCATGGCTGAAGCATATTTTTTATTCCTAGGGGAATTCATATGTCTCATGATTTTTCCCTTGGTTCTCTGTCTCTCACTGGATAAGAGCTTAGGGATTTTCATTACTTTATGCATAGGTCCTGGGATGTGACTGCTTTGAGGGACTGCAGCTTTTTCTGGCTTGAAGACTGTGCTTAATAAATGGTGCCTTGTTGGAATCAGAGTGAGAATGAGACAAGATTTGGTGGTGGGGATCAAGCCTGGGTATTATGCCTGCTTTGGCTTGATACCCTCAATGCCTAGAACTGCAGGATGAAGCCAAGCAAATACAGAGGTTTTGCCTCGGCAAGCTTCCCCATGAGTGGAATTAGCGCTCAACACCCCAATTCATCAGCTGTCAGTGCCACAGTGACCAGGGCCCCACACCTTTCCAGGGACCTGCTGTGACTGGTGAAGCAGCTAAAGCAGGATGAAATCAAAGCAGGGATGGCTCTGAACCAGGGGCCTGCTGGAGCAGCCATTCTGAGCTAGAGGGTAGCCAAAGAAAGGAACATGCCATTGCCTCTGGAGGCAGGGATCTTTATTGCAGCCAGGGTTCTTCCACCATGTGGCAGGGGGATGGGTACCCAGGGGTCCTGGGATTAAGGGAAAGGAGTCAGGTGGGGCAAAGTTACGCACTCTGGCTCTGCAGCCCCTCCAACAAAGCACGGAGCACGGCCGAAACTGCTACAGCCCCAGGGTCCGGCTGCAGTAGCTTGGCTGAACTGATGTAACTGGCCCTGCCGGCACCTGCCTCCATATTCTTAGTGGCTTTTTCTTGCGCCCCCGGCCCCCTCAAGAAAATATCGCCCCCTGCCGGCACCTGCCTCCATATTCTTAGTGGCTTCTGCTGCAGCCTCTGCACTCTGCAGAAAGAGCAGGGAGAGGGGGGTTGTGCATGGGGCGTCTTGACCCTGTCTCTAAGCATAGGGGCTGTGGAGTTCTGTGCCCTGCCAGCTACACTGTGGTACACACACAGCCAAGAGCCATGTTGGGAGTGCCTCCCTCCACAGCCCCTCCAGCCCCCCTCACTTCTAACCTGCAACCCACCCCTACTAACACAGTGTGGGACTACCCTCTACAGCTCTGCCAACCTTTCCCAACCTGCTACCCAGCACTAACCCAGACCTGAATCCTCCATCTCTGTGGATCCTCCTCGATTCTTTCTTTTGCAGAAAACGTAACGAGTGTTTTCATGCACAGATGCAGTGAGGGCATGTTTCACGCCTCCAAAGCTGGGTGGCACAGTGCCCCCTGGCTGGATCTGTACTTAGCTCTTACTCACTAAGTCACCCACACTATTTCCTTCAGTCTCTCCTGAGTGTGCCCACCGTGCCCCAAGCAGGCCAGCAGGCTGAAGCCTAGCTGGCAAAACAATGCCATACTTGACCCCTGTAGGGGATACAAAAAACATGCTGTAGTCCCAAAAGCTGCTATCTCCTCCCCCCGCCCTTTGGCCAGCTCCTGCCCCAGTCTCACTGGAGGCTCATTATAATGCGAATACTCTCTTACCTGGACAGCCTTGGCCAGCACCTGGAACAGGTCAGCACCAGGGGCTCGCAAAGCATGCAGCTCCCCTGCAGCAGCACATAGTGAATCCAGCTGCATGGAACAAACCAGAGCAGCAGTGAGGGCAGGTGCAGCACGGCCCCTGGGCTAAGGGACAGGGACAGTGAGGGAAGGGGGGCTGCACTCCCTGTCTGAGCCAGGGACAAGCCCATTGAGAATGAATGGCGTTCCCTGTCCTCCAAGCAGCCTGGGGTGGGAGCGGGCCCAAAATCTGACCAGGTCTCTCTCGAGCTCCACCTCGTCCCAGCCAAACTGTTTGCCTACAAGGGCAGGGGTAGGGGCAGGTCACTCACCATGGTCCTGTCCCCAGGCGCAGCTCCTCCATACCTGGTACAGAAAACAAAGGACTCAGAAGTTAGCATGGGGCATACCAAAGACCTGCTATAGTAAGGGTGACAGCTCTATCCCCCACAGGCCTACTCACTGACTAAAGGTCCCTAGGAACCACCTAACCCACCTGCCCCACCCCAACACAGGAGCCCTACTCACCGCTGCATGGCTTCAATGCCTGCGTCCATGGCATCAGCCCAGGCTGGAAGGTTGCTGCAATTCTGCAGTGGCCGTGCAGCTGCTGTAAGGAACAGCCCATACAGCTGCAAGAAAAACATGAAGCTGATGATCAGCAGTGCTGCCTGCTGTGGGATGATGGACTCATACCCCATCCCAGAGCTCACCAACCCCCAGCTGTGGCAATGCGACCCACCCCACAGGGACTCCCCACCCCCTCGGGGGGAAGGGGAAACTGTGATGCACTGAATAGAGCTCAAACCTCACCATCCTTCCCACCCCTTGCAGGACTCTATGAATCACTGATAGGCTCCCCATCCCCTCACCTCAGAGGGTTCATACCTCCCCATTCTCTTAGCCCCTCCACATGGCTCATATCCCCCCGCGTCGATGAGAACACACCCACCTTCTCCCCACACAGCTTGCCTCCCTCCAGCACTGAGTCAAAGAATGCCAGAATTGGCTCAGCAGGGTTAAGCTTCCCCCAACAGCACTCACCACCCCTGAGGAGCCCCCCATCTTCTCCAGCAGCAGCCTGGCCAGGACAGAGAGGAGCTGGGATGGTTGGGCAGGTGGGGGCCTTGCATTCAACCATTCCTGTATAGCTGAACAGACATGGGAGCACCAATGAGAGAGGACAGGCCTGGCCTTTGGGGTCAGTGACAGCCAGCTGAGCATCAGCTGGAGCCCCCCCCCACTACTGAATGAGGGCAAGGGCTTCCGAGGCCAGGGATACCAAATGGCCTCCCTGTGTCTCCATGTCTGACCAAAAGGGGATATGGTTGCTCTTTACAAGTATGTTTATGGGGTGTGGAGTCACATGTTTGCATTCCCCAGACTGGGGCATAAAGATAGATCTCTCTTGTAGTTTGGATGGTGTCTGGTAATCCTAGGCCTTGTTTTGCTGGTCACCAGTTTGGGCCAGGAAGGAATTTTTCTCCCCATAGCAATGTTCCTGGCTTCTGGAGTTTTTTCCCCCCACCTTCCTCTAAAGCACTGGGATACTGGCCA